TTTGAAACACAAAAATAGATACAAGAGAGATTGAGAGAGAGAGAGAGAGAGAGAGAGAGAGAGAGAGAGAGAGAGATTGAAAAAAGTCAATATTGAAAATATTTTTGGCAAAACTTTCTTGTAGTAATCTATTTTCATTGTCAGTTTTACAATGAATTTTAGTTTTTTTTTGTTTGACCAGTGATTCCTACCTGATTGATCACCTGAATTTTTTGGTTTTTGCTCAAATAGATAAATGATTAGATAGGATTTTTCTGCATGCATCTACCTGTTGTGTTTTTTTTTTTGCTTTAGGCGCCTTACCCACCGTCGTCGTCTTCGTCGTCATATGGGCTTGGGTAATTGAGAGGTAATTCTGATTCTGAATAGAGTGTGTGTTTATCACATACTGTCACACACACACACACACATACAGGGACAATAAATTCAATCCCATTTGATTTGACAAAAAATCAATCACAAATAATAATGGTTTATAAATTGGAAAAATATTTGTTATAGTAAATGCTGGAATGTTGGTTGGTTGGTGGTTATTGATGACACCATTGAGATATTAGTTTAGACCTGAAAGTTTTAGTTAAAGTAAATAAAACGAACAACAAAAAAAAACACACACGAATATCTTGATGAGATTATCGAAAGAGAACAAAATAGAAACCAACAAATAAACAACAGGTAGTCACACAAACACACAAATCATGGTGACATTTTTCTGTTTTTTTTTAAACATTGGTGGTGGCCAGGTGTATATTATCTTTGACTATTTTCATCAAAGAAGAGGCCATACCATTATCATTTAAGGCTTTTTTCCCTTGTTACTAAAAATGACTGACTGAAAATGGAATTTGTTTTTATTTTTCATACTGAAATATTCATTCTATCATTCAACAACAATTGTTGAATTAAAAAATACTTGAAAAAAATTATTCACCACTTATGATACATTCATATTAACAAAAACTACTAATAGTAACCTTATTTAGAGTTTAGTTTTTTTTAAATTATTTAAAACTATTCAAACAGCTTAAACATTTCTCTTTTTCTTCAACAACAACATCCGGTAGATTAACGACAAGAAAAACAAAAATGTTGATCATCAATAAGTAAAAGAAAAAATTTTATGTAAACAAAAACAAATCGAGAAACAGCGAGAAACTGAAGAATTTTTTTTTTCATCAAACACACTTAAAACAGCATTTTGGTTTCTATAGAATTTCTGATTTACTTTTTTTTTGTTGCTGTTGCCTCTCTCTTTTTCACTCACTGACATTTTGTTTGTTTGTTTGACCAAGATCAACTATAGTGATTAATAGTTGCTGATGTTGATGTTAAAAATCTTAAAATTAATGCAAAGAGAAAAAGAAAAACAATCATTTGTTATTACCTAAGGAGAATAAGGGAAAAAAAATTCCACTAACCAACTATAGCAAGCTATCATTAATCTCAGTATTCAAATGTGTAGAGTTCTTCTCACATCATCATCATCATCATCATCATCATCATCAATGATTCTACAAGTCATTCAGTCAAAGAAAAACGAAACAAAACTGTCAATATGCCAGCGAAGAAAAGAAACAAAAAAAATGTATAAACTATTTTTTTTTCAATTCTTAAGCTGTTTATTTATTTATTTTGTTTGTATTTGTGTGGGCTTTACACATCACATCACACCACACCACACAAACACATCATCTTTATATCATCACAAATACAGTATGATCAATACAATTCGATTTTGATTCTGATTTTGATTGATTGATCGTCTCTATATTCGTATGTCGAGTGTAAAACAAACAAAAACCAATCAAATCAAAAACAGAAGATTTCGAGGCCATATCAACCAAAACCAAGAAAAAACTAAGATCAATAAATTTTGCTGATTTGTTTTAACTTGAAAAAAATAAATCTCAATGATTTTAATCTTTGATCTAGAAAAAAATAATGAAATTTTTTTTTTTTTTTGAATAAACTTTGGTTGAAAAAAAATTGACTTTGATCATCCCAAATTTTTCATTTTCAACCAAGTTGTTTTCTCCTCTTGGTGAACCATTTTGGTGGAACTACCGTGGAACAAAACACACACACACACCACGCTTAACAATAAAATTTAAACGAAAGAAAAAAAAAATTAGTCAAAGAATAGATTCGAAATTGGAATTGAATTTTTTTTTGAACAAACAAAACAAATAGACAATAACAAAAAAAAAAAAACTAGAAAAATCACTGGTCAGACATAATTGAAGGTTTTGACATTCAATTTTTCAAAAATAAAATTGCCAACAAAAGAAAATAACCCTATTGTGTTCCAATGTGTGTGTGTTTTGATTATTTTGGTCTATTTATGTTTTTTCAAGACTAAAAAACTTGTTTGGAACCGTTTTCAAAAAGAAAATTCAATCCAATCAAGAATTTTGAAGCAAAAAAAAAGAAAATCTCTGATTGTATTGATTGGGTGAAAATAGAGAGAAAAAAAATTTTCTTATTCATTTTTTTACCCCAATTTTTACCCATTTCTCCATTCAATAGAAATGGTCAGTGAAATATGTCAAGAATAATCTCTTCTGTAACAA